ACGCCACCACAGCCGGCCACGTTTTGGCCGGCCGTTCAGTCATCCGGCCACCACTCGGGTCGGGACCGGTCCCAAAATGACCGGCCTGACTCCGCCGTCCTACCCCACCTGTTCTCCGACGTCAGCCGGCAGCGATACCGCCGGAAAGTGCAGAAAAACGGCCGGTTTTTACCCAGATTTTCCGGAGCTCGTTCCGGCGATTCCGGCCACCAAATCTTGCGATCAAGGTATGGTTTCTCACCTATTTTCCGAGCTCTAGCTGCCTGTTGGGTAGGAATTGATCGATTTGTAGCGTAGGCAACTCGATTTACGAATTGGGTTTCGGCCGGATTTCGGGATGAGATTCCGGCCACTTCCGGTCAGATTTTGGGGTATGCCCAAGAACAAAAGTGGCTCAGAATAGGGTTTTACATCTAGGATAGGAAGCTTGGCCGGCGGTTTGGAGTTTTCCGGCCGCCGGAAATTACTCAAGGCACCCACGCGCTGCCGGCGCGTGTGGCGGCGCGTGGGCTAGGAAAATGGACCGGCTCGAGGTTCTAAAATGATCCTCAGGTTGTCATGAGCGCGTAGGTGTGCTCGGATCTCATTTTGGGTTACCGTTAGAGTCCCGAACGGATATCGCATATCGCGTATTTTCCGGGTTCGCTGGGTTTGGACCGTTGGATGGTCCTGAGATTATAATATGTTGATCTAGGTATTACCAGGATCGTGTAGGATTCGACGGATCGTAAAACGGAGTCCCGGATACTCCGGAAATGCCAACCCTGGGGTTAGGGTTTTAGTAACCGTCCGATTGTGCGATCGTGAGCAATCCGACCGTCCGATCTGGACCAAACTTGCAGGACATGTGTCCTAGAGCTTGTAGAACCTCTAGGAACTATCGGATCGGAATTTGGAGGTTGTGGGCCCCGCAGGCCCGTTTGACCCTAGGTTGACCGTGAGACTCCCGAGATAGTCTTACCTTTCCTGAGGGTTAGGATGACCTTAGTGACAGGTCTTGAGCGTTGTTGAGTTAAATGGATATGTGGGTTTAGGATATAAATTGGTGAATTTAAATGTGGGAGTTTATGGAATGTTTTATTGGTTGATGTTATTGTATGATATATTTAATTAATTGTGTGGAGGTATAATAATATATAAGGAGATTGAATATTAGTTTACAGTGCTATACGCACTACCCCACGTACCCCTCATATTGTGATTATGCTCAGGCCCAAGTGATAGTGTGAGGTCGCACGCGTCTTTGGATTAGCCGGCGTGTTGACAGACCCCGTACGTGGCCGGGTGCGTCCCGACGTATGAGTGGGAGTTATGATTGTGTGAGGGCTGGTGAGAATGTAGCCAGGCCCAGTGTGAGGTCGCACGCGTCTTTGGGTTAGCCGGCGTGTTGACAGGCCCCGTACGTGGCCGGGTACGTCCCGACGTATGAGTGGGTGATATGATGGTATAAGGGCTGGTGAGAATGTAGCCAGGCCCAGTGTGAGGTCGCACGCGTCTTTGGGTTAGCCGGCGTGTTGACAGGCCCCGTACGTGGCCGGGTACGTCCCGACGTATGAGTGGGTGATATGATGGTATAAGGGCTGGTGAGAATGTAGCCAGGCCCAGTGTGAGGTCGCACGCGTCTTTGGGTTAGCCGGCGTGTTGACAGGCCCCGTACGTGGCCGGGTACGTCCCGACGTATGAGTGGGTGATATGATGGTATAAGGGCTGGTGAGAATGTAGCCAGGCCCAGTGTGAGGTCGCACGCGTCTTTGGGTTAGCCGGCGTGTTGACAGGCCCCGTACGTGGCCGGGTACGTCCCGACGTATGAGTGGGTGATATGATGGTATAAGGGCTGGTGAGAATGTAGCCAGGCCCAGTGTGAGGTCGCACGCGTCTTTGGGTTAGCCGGCGTGTTGACAGGCCCCGTACGTGGCCGGGTACGTCCCGACGTATGAGTGGGTGATATGATGGTATAAGGGCTGGTGAGAATGTAGCCAGGCCCAGTGTGAGGTCGCACGCGTCTTTGGGTTAGCCGGCGTGTAGACAGACCCCGTACGAGGCCGGGTGCGTCCCGTCGTATGAGTGGGAGATATGATAGTTTGATGGCTGGTGAGAATGTAGCCAGGCCAAAGAGAACAGTATGATGGCTGGTGAGAATGTAGCCAGGCCCAGCGAGAGGTCGCACGCGTCTTTGGATTAGCCGGCGTGTTGACAGACCCCGTACGAGGCCGGGTGCGTCCCGTCGTATGAGGGGAGCTATGTGATTATGTTTGGTGTGTTGTGATGGATAAACCCGAGAATGTATGTATTTATATGGATGAAATGGTTTAATTGATGTCAGGAGCCAGGATTGATAGGAAAGAGCTACGTGTGGCTTGATCCCTTAGTAGGGTACGTAGGCAGCCTGGGATAGCGCCTAGGTGCAGCCACGACCTAGACACCACTTAGGTGGTTTTATCGTGTATGATGCGGACCTCGTGGTTGGTCCCGAAACTTTGGTTGAATTGAAGCTTGTCCGGTGGACTGAGTGAGTGAAGGTGTGCATAAGAGATTTGGAATTTGTTATATGCATGGTTGATGCATGAAGTTATTTTGAAAACAGTGTGGGTAGTCTGCTAGAATCATTTGAAGGCCGGAGGCCATTTATGTAAATTGCATGAGATTATATTGTGCGTGCTGCTGGTTGGGTTATAAAATGTGTTTTATGCAGGTGGAAGTTTTGGGGAATGTTCAATTTACAGGGGAGACTCTGCCGAAATTTCGGCAGAAAGTCTCGTGCCCTTAATCCTCTATGGTGAACGAGGACGTAGATTTAAGGAGTAAACCCGGCGTGGGTGTGATGCCGGGGTCTCCGCAGGGTTCGTCTCGGGTTCCGGGAAATTCGGGACGGGTCCTGTCACAAAATATTAAGTGACCACATAGCTTGTTCAAGAATATCAAACAACGCCAAGTACTACTAGTGTAGTGGTTTGAAGAAATTGCTCACCATAAGTAATTACTCTCAAAAAAAGGTTATGATGGGTTCGAGTCCTAGCATTTATATAGTGTGTGTGAGTTTAGTATGATATTGCCCCTCTCAATAGGAAAGGTTTTATAAAAATTAAAAAAAAACCACAAGAATATCAAATAGGTATTTTTTGTTGTTGTTGTCAAAGTTAGGAAAGGGAGGGGAAAAATTCACACATACGGATACGGCGGGGGCTTCAATCCGGGACCACTTGAAAGTAAATTAAAAGTCTAAGTCAATCCAACAAACACCCCGTTACTAAGAATATCAAACAGATGAGTGACCAAGAAGTTGATCACTCCCTATGCACGTGGTGAAAGACCTAGCCATAAAAAGCTCATGTAATTTACGGAACCTATATGCACACCTCATGATGCACACCATAAGTGATATACATTACACGACTTCCCTTGTTGGCCATGACAGCTGACGTAGCGAGATATAGGGGAATAGGGAGATCTCGAATGATAACCCTGCAAGTAACAATCCGGAATCCATTAGAAATTTAGTAAAACTCAAAGAGTATTTGATTGATAATAAACTGAATAGTTTAGGATGCTCCAATGCATTCCTTTTATACAAGCGAACCCCTAGACTTGCTAAGAAAGATAATTATAAAACAAAAAAAGAAATAACAAAAGTTCCCAAATTTTAAAACTTTAAATGCTGAAAACGCAAAGTAAATGATAGAATTTGGCTAAAATAGTCCATATGTCACAATACAGCAATGAGTTGCACTTGTCACGCCGTTCTCTTCAAAATGGCAGGTCATGGCCTAATTATGAGTTCAGGGCCCATACTTGCACGAATTGGGCTTTTCTGGCACAACGACATGCACGCGCTTATCCAGCTGCTCCTCGATCAACTCATCTATCTATCCTACATTATTTAACACAGATTTATTGCATTAATTGCATGCTGTCTGTATTTTTTTTAAATCAGTCAATTTCCTTATTGTTTCAATTTCATATAACAATATATTTCTTTTTATCAGCCTGACATTTGAGTTCAACAAAGAAACATAGTATAGTAAACAAAATAAATGTAAGATCAGGAAAGTAACCCTTAATTGAAATTATCATCATTCCAAATTCCAAAACTCTAAAGTCATAGTATAAATGAAACACAAAATTTCGGTGTTGCCAAATTTATCCATAACTTGTTCACAGCCTCCAATCCATTCACTCACGAAGATAACACCAAAATTTAATCTCTAACGCATCAAACCACATGTAACTTCAGCGAAAAAGAATCAAGCTTACCCTCCTAGCTAGTAGCAGTGTAAGTATTGATGACCGCTTTGCTCCATTTCATTCAAGCAGTAGGCATCAGCTAAAAATAATAAAAGTCACCCAACTACAACTTCCGTTCTCAGAACTCTCAGCCACTGCATCGTGAAAGGGGAAAAGAAGCCATTACTAAGTTTACCATTCCTTCGAAGCCGAATTGAAAGCCTCAATCATTTGCATAGCAAACCATCAAAAGTTGCAAATAAAATATCCACAAGAGGTCATTTCTATACAGCATTGCAATATAAAGAAAAGCTAAAACAAGACACTAATTAACAAGAACTAAAAAAATAAAGTTATAAGTTGATAACAAGTGCTCAATTCATGGGTTCCAATCTACAGAAAGAATTCTGGTAGTGAAGTTTAGGGATTTAAAAGAAATTGATGTCATATTGAATGTTGAACAAATTTAGAATAATTGAAAAACTACAGAAAATAGGGATTGTTTAGGAAAACCCAGTACATAGCATCTGTTTTTAAAATTGGATTTTTGTCTAGGATATTAGAGTTGCAAGGGTCTGTTTCTTAATACATATCCGCACGAACATAGATAAAGAAGTCTAACGTATGTATTTTGTCTTGTTGCATGCACTTGCGCATGACTCTTCTGACGAAGAAAAAACCTAGATTCACACGACTCATCTGTATATATTTTTGCCATCTTTTCATCTCACTCATTATATCTATAAAACAAACGACCTGAATGGAGAGAGTCTGAAAAAATGGATTCTTCTCAGCAAAGAAAATTCAGTGTTCTTATGTTTCCATGGTTAGCTCATGGGCACATATCTCCCTACCTAGAGCTAGCAAAGAAGCTGACCAACAGAAATTTTCACATCTATTTTTGTTCCACACCTGTAAATCTCAGATCCATCAAGCCAAAACTCTCTGAAAAATACTCTCGTTGCATTGAACTTGTGCAACTACATCTTCCATACGAGGACTTGCCTGAACTCCCACCTCATTACCACACTACCAATGGCCTCCCACCCCACCTCATGTCCACTCTCAAAACCGCCTTCGACATGGCCAGCCCTAACTTCTCCAACATCCTCAAAACCCTAAACCCGGATTTGCTAATTTATGATTTTCTTCAACCATGGGCACCCTCTCTAGCTTTGTTACAAAACATTCCAGCCATCGAGTTCTTCACAACCAGTGCTGCCATGATGTCAGTTTGTACCCACCATGGCGAGAAACCTGGTGTCAAATTTCCGTTTCCTTCAATCTATTACGAGACTAGTAAGATCAAGATGTTGTTAGAATCTTCATCAAATGGCATCAGTGATGGAGACCGTGCTAAGCAGTGCAGCGATCGTTCTTGTAAGATCCTATTAGTCAAGAGTTCTAGAGAGATTGAAGCAAAATATATTGATTATCTCTCTGATCTAATTGGGAAGAAGATTGTGCCTGTTGGTTCACTTGTTCAAGACCTTATAGAGCAAGAAGTGGATTCGGAGGAAACAAAAATCATGAAGTGGCTAAACACTAGAGAAAGATCTTCGGTGGTGTATGTTTCCTTCGGCAGTGAGTACTTTTTATCCAAGGAGGAAATAGAAGAGATAGCTCATGGGCTAGAGCTTAGCAAAGTGAGTTTTATTTGGGTTATAAGATTTCCTAAGGAAGAGAAAGGTACTAGGGTTGAAGAGGTATTACCAGAAGGGTTTTTAGAGAGGGTGGGGGGGAAGGGAATTATAGTGGATGGTTGGTCTCCACAGGCAAAAATATTGAAGCATTCTAGTGCTGGTGGGTTTGTGAGCCACTGTGGATGGAGCTCAGTGTTGGAGAGCATCAAGTTTGGCGTTCCAATTGTAGCCATGCCTATGCATCTTGACCAGCCTATTAACGCTAGAATAGTAGAGGACGTTGGAGTTGGTGTGGAGGTTAAGAGAATGGGAGGAGGCGGCAACGAGAACGGGAGGCTGAAAAGGGAAGAGATAGCAAAAGTAATCAGAGATGTGGTGGTGGAAGAAAATGGACAGGGTTTGAAAAGAAAGGCAATGGAATTGAGAGACAACATGAAAAAGAGAGAGGATGAAGAGATAGATGGGGTGGTAGAGCAGTTGATTCAACTTTGTATGAGAAAGGAATGAAGTATGATATCGGATTTCACTTGCTGTGGTACTCTTTTTTCTTGACCGGATTTTCCTCTTTTAGGGGTTTTTTAAGGCAAGGTTTTAACGAGGCCACAAGAGAGCAGTGCAGATTCCAGTTTTTCTGGTAGTTTTGTAATCTAGGTTCTCAGTTTGAATGAAGTTTCTATCTGTTTTGATAAAATATAAAATTAAAAAGTGTGTTGTATTTGAACAATGTTGACCCCGAGTGTATTCCAACCTCTACTTAGTTCAAAGAACAAGTTGAGAAAACTGCGTATTTGTATGTTTGATTCAGTGGGTGATTAGATGCACAGCTGCAGGAAGGGATTAACGGTGAACGACTTTTTTCTTTCATATTCGTTCAAGTTTTGAGCCTTTAAGGCTTTAAATTCATGAGCTGACACCGAACATTTTCAGACTTTGAATTAACAAGGAATGGAAAGACCATTCGGTGTTCGGTAGGAAGTCTTGAGTTCATACATTATAAATGGTTAATAAAGAAAAGTGATATTTAGTTATATACTCATTCTTAACACTAATTATATAAATAAATTTTATACCATTTAATTTCTATAAAAAACTCGAAAAAAACTCAACAAATTACAACGGGTTCTATTGAATTTAATTTTGATTATTAAATTACTTTGATGCCTTATTAAGTGTTTTGAGTTTTTTTTATTATGAGGTTTTGAGGTTGGGTTTATTTTAAGAAATCGATGACAGTTATGTAATTTATAATAAGTTAAAAGTTTCTTTGTTATGCTGTAAATTGGTTTTAGGTGTGTTTCTAAAGTTCATTTCATATATAATTTGAGTATAATAGTGAATCTCCCGAAATAAATTCAAGATGTAATTTTGGACATGCCTTCTTCTTTTTTCAGATTTTATGTCTGGGTTTCAAAAAAAAAAAAAAAAAAAAAAGGATTTCTTTGTTTCTCTTCAATTATAATTAACTTTCTTTTTTCGATGTTTCCAATGCTTTGCTATTAGCCTGTCCAAATAAAGACAAAGAAGAGAAAATTTCCACTTCTTTTTATGTGTTTGGATTGCTGTGAGTCTCAGATTGTTGGGAAGAGTTTATCGGTACTGACACGACCAATGCATGTGTTTGAAGCTTATCTGTCGACCATAAACTGTGATGGGCCATAAGAAAACAACCACCACAAGAAAAAGAGTCGGAAAATGGATTGTTCAGAGCATCCAAGTATTCTTATTATGCTTCCATGGTTATCTCATGGCCGCACTGTCGCTTCCTAGAGCCAGCCAACAAGCCAGCCAAAGAGAAATTTTCATATAATTCTTATTGTCAATATTATACTTTTAGCTTAGCCAAATAACGAGACCTAAATATTGAATCTGGACTTTACGTATGCACTTACACCGCCGTCTAAATCAAGCTTCCACGTTCCTCTTCTTCAGACCTTTATGTCATGCCTCGTCTCCATCGCTACACCTGTCTCTCGAGTCTTGACCAAGAATCATCGGTGTAAGCCTCAACTCCATCCATTTTGATTTTAAGTTTGAGTACGTGTCATTTGTTAAGTGGTTAGATTGTTTGAGTGATTTAGATTTAACAAAATGTAGATAAATACACGAGACCTAAATATAGAGATTCGGGAATTAGATAGAAGACTCAAAAATAAAAAAATCTGAACTAAAACTTGTATTCTACACAGCAGAGTGGCACTCAATTTTTCTTCTGGGTTAAAAATAAAAAACAAAATAAAAAAAAAAGGATGAATTCGAACTTGGGATTTCTGTTTCTGCATTGAGAAAATGTATATACATATATATATTTCTAAATTAATAGATGTCCATAGGCACTTCGAAAACCCTAGATTCTAATTTGTGTCATCAAGATCATGATACTTCTACGTCAATTTTTCTTTTTGGGAGGAGAAATCATAATTTGATATGTGTTTTCAAACAATTCAGGAACGCAAATACTAGTTTGGGCAGAGTCCTAAACATTCACGGCAACAAATTCAATGAGAACGGGTGATACTAGAAGTATTGGTTGTAGTTTGTCCTTTTGCTGAGCTTTCTTCGGAGGAACAAACAAATACAAGTTTAAACTTCTTGGTTACGTGAACCATCCGAGTCGTAAACTTACATATGCATGAAATGTTAAAAAATATTTGTGGAAACTAAAGGAGTTTCGGCTGTGAAAAATCATTGGAGAGAGATTCAAAGTCTTTATACCTTGACCAGAAATATAAATAGAATCTGAGTTAAATATAAACAAATAAAAATAAATATGAAAGATAAGGAAGCGAACTATTCAAAAGTATAACTAAAACCATAAATTGTCATTACAAATAGCTTGTAGCTCAAGTTGTTAAGAGCATGTGCTTCTATACCCGAAATCCTAAGTTCGATTGTGCCCTTCCTTAATATCGCTTGTCATCAAAGTTCAACTTTTTGTTTCTCAGATCTATATAATGAAAGTTGATATTATTACGTACCTAATTATTGTGTCGGCATTTAGTCGGTTTGTTTGGTGCATTCGTCTTATATCAAGCCAAACAAAGAAGAAAATTTAAACTATTCTTGTTTCGAGTCTTTATCATAGGCCAATCATCACTCTCTGGAACTTATGTGTGCATGTTCGAATCATCACGCGTTTTTGTGTGTATATATATATGCATAGAGCTAGCCACAAACAAACTACCAATAAGCCTATAATCGAGCAACCTCAAGCAAAAGAGTCAAAGGAAAACAAAATATGGTTTTCTCTGACCAAAGAAGCCTTACTATTCTCATGCTTCCATGGCTAGCTCACGGCCATATATCTCCCTACCTAGAGCTAGCCAAGAAGCTGACCACCAAGAGAAATTTTCACATCTTTATTTGTTCCACGCCTGTAAATCTCAGCTCCATCAAGCCTAAACTCTCCCAAAAATATTCTCATTGCATTGAATTTGTGGAACTCCATCTTCCACATGCTGACTTGCCTGAACTCCCACCGCACTACCACACCACCAATGGCCTCCCTCCCCATCTCATGTCCACTCTCAAAACGGCCTTCGACATGTCCAGCAACAACTTCTCCAACATCCTCAAAACCCTAAGCCCAGATTTGCTCATATATGATGTTCTTCAACCATGGGCGCCCTCTCTAGCTTCATTACAAAATTTTCCATCCATCGAATTCATCCCCATGGGCGCTGCCTTGACTTCATTTAGTATTCAACATCTCAAGAACCCTAGTGTCAAGTTTCCTTTTCCTTCGATTTATCTTCAAGATTACGAAGCTGAAAAGTTCAACAATTTGTCGGAATCTTCAGCAAATGGCATCAAAAATGGAGACCGTCTTCAGCAATGCAGTGCTCGATCTTGTAACATCATTTTGGTCAAGACATCAAGAGAGATTGAAGAAAAATATATTGATTATCTTTCTGATTTAATAGGGAAGAAGATCGTGCCTGTTGGCACACTTGTTCAAGAGCCAATGGATCAAAAAGTTGATGAGGAAACATGGATCATGAAATGGCTGAACAAAATGGAAAGGTCTTCCGTTGTGTATGTTTGCTTTGGCAGTGAGTACTTTCTGTCCAAGGAGCAAATAAAAGAGATTGCTCACGGATTAGAACTTAGCAAAGTGAGCTTCATTTGGGCTATAAGATTTCCTAAGGAGGAGAAAAGTACTAGGGTTGAAGAGGTGTTACCAGAAGGGTTTTTACAGAGGGTGGGAGAGAAGGGAGTGATAGTGGAGGGTTGGGCTCCACAAGCAAAGATACTGCAGCATTCTAGTGTTGGTGGGTTTGTGAGTCACTGCGGATGGAACTCAGTGTTGGAGAGCATCAAGTTTGGTGTTCCAATTATAGCCATGCCTATGCATCTTGACCAGCCAATCAACGCTAGACTAGTGGAGGAGGTGGGTGTTGGTGTGGAGGTTAAGAGAGCAGGTGAAGGAAGTTTGCAAAGAGAAGAGGTCGCAAAGGTGATTAGAGACGTGGTTGTGGAGAAAATTGGAGAGGGAGTGAGAAAAAAGGCATTGAAAATAAGAGACAACATGAACAAGAAAGAGGATGAAGAGATTGATGGGGTCGTGGAGGAACTGATGCAAGTTTGTACGGGAAGGAAATCTAAGTGAAAAAGACGTCCGTACGTTGAGTCTTCAATTAAATCATTCTAATGATTTTGAATGCTCACATCAGCATATGTGTGGATGATTATTGAATGCTCACGTCACGTAGGTGTATAAAACTCAAAATGTTGGGCTTGACTTCTCTACTTCTTTGAAGTAATGCTGTTGGGTTTTCTTTGTGTTTTTGTAAAATGTTTCCTTTTTTTAAAGTACTTCCCTCCTTACTCATCAAGAGGAACTCTTACTTACTTTTTATTATGGCTCAACCATAAAGTGACATGTGTCCGCTTTTTTAAATTGTCAAAACTGTCTTTTTTTTAACTTTTACTGAAACCTTAGGGCTCGTTTGGGACTGTTTCTCTATAAAGTACTTCTGCTCATAAGCGCTTCTAACAAAAGCGCTTTTATAATAAAAATCTTGAATTTTCATTAAAAAAAAATCCAAGTACTTCTTGAAGAAGCACATAGCAGGTGCTTTTCCAGAAAGCCCTTCTATGACCCAAAAATACTTTTAAACTTTTCTGCCAAAGTTGAGAAAGGAAAATTATTATTTTTTTAAAAGTTGAAAAAATCAAAGTGAAAAAAAAACAATGGGAATATTATTATTATTATTAAAAAAATTGGTTAAAGGGAGGGTGGTGCTTGGTGGTTTTGAAAAAAATAAAAAAAGTGGAAAAAAAAAAAAGGACAATAAAAAAGAGAGGACACATATTACTTTGTATTGAGCCACAATAGAAAGTAAAGATGGAAGTATTGTCCTTTGTTTTTTGCCAAAGTATTTTGGAAGACGACCATTCAATACTCATTCTAATGATTATGAATGCTCATCAGCTTATGTGTGTATTGCTTGAATGCTCAGGCCATATGCATGTCTATATGTAAAGATCTGAAAAGAAACTTTTTTTAAGATAAAAATATATCTTTTCTTTTATATAAAATCTTTCAATCACAATGAATAAATTGACAGAAAAGGCCCTCAAGCAAACTACACAAACCAAAAATGAAATTTGGTGAACTTTTTAAAGTACACTGACTTGTATATATGGAAATCGGACCAAACTCTTGGGACTGAGAAGCTAAACATTCTCATATGACTCACATATATATATATATATATATATATTGATCAAGAGAGCCTACAAATAATCTTATTTGAGGGAGACATTGTAGGGTTCACTTTAAATTTTATTTCAACGATTCCAACGATTTAATTAGGTGATTAAATGGATTCAAATTCAAGTGATTTTTTGCCCCTGTATCCTAGATCATGTGTTCAAATCCCCACACTCCCAATATCGGTTGTATTCAAATTAAAAAAATTTAAAAAAATTGTTTTAGATGCTTTCCTATGAGCTGTCCTATATGTATGCATAATAAGAGTCTTAATTTGTTGGAAGAGTTTATCCCATCTGAATCTGGAAATTGGAATTACGTATGCACTTGCACATACTATGACTCATCTCCATCAGAGTACCCTCACTATATGATCTCCAAAAACACCAAACTATATATGAGGCCATAAGCCAACCATCGCCTCAAAAAAAAAAAGAGAAAAAAAAAAAAAAAAAAAAAAAAAAAAAAAAAAAGAAAGGTGTCTTCAAAATCCAAGCAATGGTCGGTATTCTTATGCTTCCATGGTTATCTCATGGACCACATATCTCCCTTCCTAGAGTTAGCCAAGAAGCTCGCCAATAAGAAAAATAATTTTCACATGTTTATTTGCTCCACACCTGTAAATCTCAGCTCTATCAAGCCAAAACTCTCCCAAAAATACTCTCAATCAATGCATTGAATTTGTGGAACTTCATCTTCCACATGCTGACTTTTGCCTCACTGCCACACTAATAGCCGTGGCGAAGCTAGGATTCTATGTGTGTGGAGGCATCTCACAAAATATAAATAATAAAAAATTCAAACTCAAGACATATCAAAACATCAAAAATAATATTGCCTATTCATTACAATCATAATTTTGACCCAAAAAAATCACTACAATTCATAATTGTCCTTGACAAGTTTTCATATTTTGAAATCGTTGCATAACAACCATGTCATCTATACTATTAAAAATATTTTTTTCTCAATTTATGCAACCAAGCAATCATTCATCTATATGAATTAACCTAATTTTAAAACTTGTTAATATAATATTGAGTTTGAGAGAAAAACTCACAAACAATGAGAAAGTTTGCTCCTGCCAAAAAAATAGAAAAAACGGATTAAAATCTCCTTGTTTTTTAGCAATTTGTGTACAAAGGCAATATGTGTGTTAAAAGGTAATATATAATAACAGTTTTATTAAAACTTTTGGGGATGGGTTCTCAAAAGAAGGCGTAGTCTTGGAGGACACGTAGGTTTGGCTGGGTAGGGCCCCACATGGTAAAATTAATATGTTAATTAATATGGGGTTATCCAATAATAGCATACTACTTTTTTTTTTTATAATCAAAACTCAGTGGGGACCTAGGACTGCACTGGTCCCAATGTGGCTCCGCCCCTACTAATTGCCTCCCACTCCATCTCCTGCCCACCGTCAAATAGGCGTTCAACATGGCTAGCCCAAACTTCTCCAACATCCTCCAAACCCTAAACCCATAATTGCTCATACATGATTCTTTCGTGCCATGGGCATCGGCTGTAGCTTCGCTACAAAATATTCCAGCCATCAACTTCGTTTGCACGAGTGTTGCAGCAGCTTCATTTTACATTCACAATCTCATGAAGTGTCAAATTTTCCCCTCCCCCTTCCTAATTTAGACAAAAAATAAAATAAAATTATAGACTAGTTGCATGCATGGGTGTAAAATAAGGATATTTGCTTAACTTCTCTTCTCACAATACCACCTCATTTAAATATTATCTAATGATTTTTTTTTTTTGTCGAAATTATCTAATGATTAAGAAAAAATGACAATGCATGTTTGTCACATAAAGAAGAAAAAATAATAAAACATTTTCTCTTTTTTGATGTTTCCCTCTCTCAAATTAAAAGTCTTTACTTTAAATATAAGACCAGTCTTTATTTCTTCATATTAGTTTTTTTTTTCTAGTGTCTGGCGTTAAAAACTTTTGCTTCAAGGGTTTGGATCTCATGACTCATGCTCATTCTGCCTCTTAAAAGTGCTTCAAACTTTCTACTTCAATGGCCATCACAGGAAGATCAAACAAAGGCCAAAGTCTAGAATCTCATTAGTTTTGTGGGCATTTTGCGTAGTTGAGACATCCGACAAAGGCCCTCAAACAAACTATAAGGACCCAAAATGAAATTTGGTGAACTTTTTAAACTACAATGACTTGTATGAAATTAGGCCAACAAACTCTAAGAATATATTCTCATATGACTTGAAATTACCTGTAGGATAGCTTAAAACACTAGAAGGGAGGTGAATAGTATGTTTACAGATTTTAAGCTTAACAAAGGAAAAAACAAACACGCCCAAGGGATTGATAAGTGGTATCAATCCTTAAATGTACATAGTGTAAAAATAAAGAACATGCAAGAATTATTTTACGTGGTAAAACCCCACCTCTGGGGAAAATCCATAGGACTCCTCAGTCCAAAAGAAATCCACTATAGAATGATGATTACAAGAAGTACTCACACACTTATCCTAGACACATTCAAGATAATGTTTATTGACTTCTTCGTAATTCAACTTCTCGCGGGATTACTTCTTTCTCTCCTTATGTTGAATGAGATACTTGACGCGATCAATTGAAACTTGTTGGAGGTATGAGGCACTTGTAACTTATGCAAATGAATGCAAATGTATGAAATGACAAATCACTAAGATCATCTTACTCTTGATGATCCACCCTTAAGAAAACAATGCACATTAACTTTCTTTAATTATTTGGAAATCAGAAAATTCATGTTGTGTAGAGATTGAAGCATAGGCTTCCTTTTTATAGTGGTTTTCAAAACAAGAAACAAACTTCCTTTAAACAAAAAGTCTTCCCAATCAAACTTTAATTGTTTTAAAATCAAAGTTCCAAACAAATCCTTGATTTGAAAACAATTCTAAATTCAGCACAATCAAGATGCATGATTGAATGATGATATTACCTTAGAAATTGTTGATTGAACCATGTGCCTTCAAATAAGAGCTTGGGATGGAGACATTTGTCATTGCTAGTCTATCATAACAAGTTTACCATCTATGTTAATCTCTCTAAGGTCTAAGGAATGCCAATCACATAATCATATACTAACAATCTCTCTCCCTTTGGCATTTCTTAGACAAAACACTCATTACTCAAAAGAAATTACATGGGATTTAACAAAAGAAATCCTACCCTAAAGCTCTTAATCCCTGCACAACATGAAACAACAAAACCAGTGAAGCATGTGGGAGAAGAAAAGTAACTTGAAAGCAAAATTACAATATGACTCCCCCTTAATTCCAACATCTCCCCCTTTTTATCACAATTTCACACAATCATCTCTCCCCATTTTTGTTAGGAAATCCGAAGGCCAATGAAGATACATGAGGGAGAAAATATAAGATGAAATATGTCAGAAGCGAAAACGAGAGGGATGACAACATCAAGCAAGGATAGGGAAATGGAAGAAAATGCTTATCAACAAAAATCAGAGAGATTAACCACAGATGCCCTCGAGGGTATTTGTCATGTCTTGACTAAGAAAGAGAACAAGATTGAGAAGCTTTATGAATCTTGTAGATGGGTCAACATATACTCTTTTTTCTTGTGAAATTCCATTGAGGAAGGTAGTTTTGACGCCTATTTGGTGAAACTTGAATAATTGTATGCTTGACTCCATGGAGCGTGGGACCATGTATTCCTTATGAATTGAATTAGCTTAACTTTCATAGGCAAGATACATTCAACATCTACAAGAACAATATACACACTTTTAGGTTCAATCATAGAACCATATGACACGATACTTAGCTTACTTGTCTTTTAGTCTTCATTTTTGTCATTCACATTCAAATAATATCATAAAGGATGGTCTTGTGGTATCTGCTTCAGTGAGGATACAA